TCTGAGGTCAGTAATGAATTGTGTGACTCCTCTAGGAGTCTCGATTGGGAGCAGAGTGACAATTATGAAAGAGGAACTAGAGTTATCGATGGTGTTATCAGATGAGCCGCTTGCGAATTGTGGCGAAGAAGTTGTTGAAGTCCTAAATGTAATAACTGTCCTAAATGTAATGAAGTCCTAAATGTAATAACATTTGGTCCTAAATGTAATAAAGCCCTAAATGTAATAACGTTCGGTCCTAAATGTAATAAGCCTCCTATGCAATCGTTTAACTACGCTAACATTGAAATGTTAAAGTGACAGCTGTTGCACTAAAGAATCCTCTGACCAATATTTATGGAATATTGCGGGCTCACTGGTATTAATCAGGGTCTTTTTATTTGTTTAAGAGGTAGGTTGAGAATCATTGGCTACAAAACCTTATACTGATACTAATGTGCTTTTGGCATCAAATTGACGGACGCAAAAGCAACGAGAACGTTGACTAATAGCTCTCTATATATCATTGGCTCAGACTCTTAACTGTAACAGATTTTGACGAAATACTTCTGTCATCAGTGCTGAAGTTAACACTTGATAGACCGAATTACAAGGAAAAAGAAGTCCACCGACTTATACGCTAGACAAATTCTGGGCTCAGAAGGGCATTCTTTGTACTGTCTTCCCTTGCCAGATTTGTACTGGTCTGCATAAAATATATTCATATGCGTTATTGACCGAGCGTGAGGTCAAAATGGCTACACACACAGGACGAAATTGCAAGAATCCGTAAACGGAAACGTGGCAGAAACATGTTAAACCGTTCCGGAAAGACGACGGATAACCTGTGTTTCCGTTTTTCGTGACGTTTTCTCGCGTTTCCGTTGCTGCGTATACAACGGAACCGGACCACTTTTACGTAAACATAACGGAAACATGGAGTTGCATGTTTCCGCCACGTTTCAGAAATACGGAAACATGTGATTTCGTCCTGTGATATTGGCTGAGTTCTTTTTTTTTTGCGTTTTTATGGACGGAGACGAGGTCACGGTCCATAAAAAAGTAGAAAAAGAACGAGGCTAATATCCAGTAATCTTGACCATACAAGCTTGGTCAAGAGAGTTTATATTCTCTTGGCTTAATCATTAAAGGATTCATTTTATAGCAAAAGATTTCGCTTTGATAAGAATCAAGAATGGCCTGTTTATTTCGAGAGCCGATAGTGAAAGCCAACTGTGTTCGCAGTACAATAAACCCAAGAGGGTCGTTTATTTTTTTCTATGTATATGAAAACATTGTCCAAAAGTTACGAACTTTGTAAGTTTTCTTGCGTGGGATCAATACGGGGTATCCCGAACGGGCGAGGGTGGGCCCATCATGCCCGCTCAGGTAGCCAATCAGAACACAGGATTCACTTCATCTTGCCCACGCGCGCTGCTAGCTATTTGATAAAGTGACTTGCAGAGCAAGATATCGACTGACCAATCATATTTCATTTTTTGTTTTCACCTCTTCTCCCCGCCGTGAGGGGAGAAAATGAATAGATAAATAGATGAATGAAAAAAGGAAGCTCAACAGTTTCCACTTATAGTCATATGGTACATGAACTGATTACTGAGGTAGAGTAAAGCCATAGAGGGCTGGAAATGCAACACCCCAAGTTCAAAATTGAATAAATCAGGATAGTCATTCTTAAAAATGAACTCAAATGCTTCATCAGAATCAATCGACACTGAATAACATTGATGTGCAAAATTTCAATAACGCTACTGATAATAATAATTTTCTTTTGGATTAACATGTGACACAGCGAAATCATTCAAACTGCTCTAAAATGGTGCATCACTACTAAAGACTTTAACACGAACGATAACATCAACAATAGCATGCTAGTTCAGCATCAATTGTAGTCAATTTCTTTTCCAAAAAGTCTTAATGGTTACGTACCAATCGATTCCATCCTATTGAGCTTCCAGCCAAGCACTAACCCACTTTGGGCTGGAAATAGTTTTCTTCAACTCGATCAATAAACCGCTTTAAGGACCATACTGCGACTGCTGGTATTTCTTATGTCTAGCAAGTAAAAAGACGCTGATTGATATCAGTGAGCCCATAATGTGACATGTATACTGGTCAGCGGTTTTTTTTGGTACAACAGCTGTCACTAACATATCAGTGTGGATGTCCTCCATGACAACAATGCACTGCAGGAGTCAAACGATTGCATTGGAGGCTTATTACATTTAGGACTAAATGTTATTACATTTAGGACAGTTATTACATTTAGGACTTCAACGGAAGTAAGCCCGAACGCAAATGGCGTAATTTCTTCCAGTCGGTAATGGATATATATCTGTAAGATTTTGCGCCAGTAGCTAACGGCGTAATTTCTTCCAGTCGGTGATATATATATATATACGTAACATTTTTCGCCAGTAACTAACGGTGTAATTTCTTCCAGTCGGTGATATACATATGTAACATTTTACGCCAGTAACTAACGACGTGATGTCGTCCAGTCGGTGATATACATATGTAAGGTTTTACGCCAGTAACTAACGGTGTAATTTCTTAGTCAGTTATACATATAATGTAAATTTTACGCCAGTAATATAATTTTATTTTATATTAATTTATTATAATTAATCTACCGACTGAGTTAGTGGCGTAAAATCTTACAGTATATAGACTGTGTTAGTCACATATTATGCCGTTAGCCATGTTGTTAAGCGAGAGTACAACAACCTTGACGTCACAATCTCAGCTCATGTGACTATTTGGCCGCGCGGTCGAGAAACAAATTTCAGGCCGCGTTCGCGCGAAGTTCGAAAGGTAAAAAAATGCTTAAGAGTGTATCTGACAATATTTACAATACAATACAATATTTATTTTGCCATATACGACATTTACAGATGGAAAAAAAAAATGAAGAAAATTGATGACAGAGAATAAATGGCGAGAAAACCTGAAAGAAACCACGAGGCTTATAACAAGTCAGGCTTTCTCACTTAAAATAACTAATCTTATATTAGAATTACAATATGGACTTATGGTAATTAACTTTGACCGCGCACACGTACACACACATACACGCACACACATATTAAGTAAGTTAGTTAAGAATTACTGCCTTACAGAAGTTAATACCTAGAGAGAAGAAATTCCTTAAGCTTTCTTTTAAAAGAAGCGGAGGAGGGAGAACTAGTTATGTCAGAATTAAGCGAATTATAAAAGTTTGGACCTTGAAAGTAAATTGAAAACTTTCTGGTGTTCGTTCTGCACAGTGGCAAGCGGAAGGACTGAGCATTCCTAGTATTATAATTGTGGATTTGACTATTCAGTAAAAAAAAGTTATTGAATTTGGAAGAGAGTGTAGAGTTCACGAATGAAAATATAAAAGTACCTAATTGAAACGAATGGATATCATGAAATTTTAAGAGTTTAAGTTCCTTAAAAATAGGGCCAGTATGGGCAATGTATGTAGAATTGCTTGCTATTCTTAACGCACGTTTCTGTAAGGTTACAATTCTTTGAAGGTTTGACTTATAGGTACCAGCCCAAGCTAAATTGCAATAATACAAATATGGAAGGATCATAGAATTGTATAAAGTCCGAAGGGAGTGAGTAGAGAGAAAAAACCTAGATTTATGAATAATACCTATAGATTTGGATAATTTATTTGCTGTTAAGGATATATGCGATTTCCAGGTCAAATTGTCATCTAATAAAACACCCAAAAATATGGTCTCAGAAACACGAAGAATAGGCTGCTCATTTATGAAAACTTGAAATTCGAAGGATTGCTTCTTTTGCCAAGGCTTGAATACCATAAAATTAGTCTTGGCTAAATTCAAGGAGAGCCGGTTTGCTGCAAACCAGGTTGACAATTTGTTTAATTCTCTATTTAATGTGTTAATTAGGTAAACAGGATCATTATGGGAGATGAATAAGTTTGTATCATCGGCAAACAAGATTGCATCAAGCAGGGAAGCATTGTTCAAATCATTAACATACAGGATAAAAAATAAGGGACCAAGAAAACTTTTTTACTCTTTCAAGGTAACTAGGTAACTACATATATTAGATAAACGGTTTGAGAGTTAAAATTTGACAAAAATACTCTTAAGCATTTTTTTCCGTTTGAACTTCGTGCGAACGCGGCCAGAAATTTGTCTCCTCGACCGCGCGGCCAAAAAGTCACTCGTTTACAAAATATACTATTCCATAAATTGCTGGTGTGCGCGCTTAAACTTAGTGAAATTTTGGCCGACTCACGGTACGATCTGCAGCCATGGTGCACTTTTGTGGTCGCGTCGCTTTGTCGCCTTAACTCGCTTGTGTGACAGAGAATATAATTTGAAGGCGACAACGCGACGCGACCACAAAAACCTTAAGGGGAGGCCGAACCGGTCTGTCTTCATCTTTATTCTAAAGACTTTTCATTGTATTTTATATTGGCTGCAGGGCGTTCATGAGTCGACAAAAATTTCACTAAGTTTAAGCACACACTCTAGCAATTTATGGAATAGTTTATTCTGTAAACGAGTTTATTGTAATTTTAAAATGTATGTTCCTTTTCAGTTCGGCTTGATCGTGTGTGCAACAGTACAGAAAACGCAATAGTAGACCAACTTCGATTGCATAACCAATTCTTAATTTCAAGAAGGAGGTCACAATATTTAGATTTGGAAACGCCCCGAAGGTGATACTTTCGACAAGTGTCATTTATGTAATGTTTAAAAAACGAGCAGGAGTGTTTTATCGGGTTTTAGACCCGATGAAACACGTGCTGCGAGTTTTTTGAACGGCTTCAAAAACATTCTTGGAAAAGCGTGTGTCAAGAGAGTTCATAACAATTATGCTTTTGTGAACGTTAGAAATTAGCATACGAGAAAAACATCAATTAATATTCATAAGTCACGTGCAGTGTCTTTATATCTGATAAAACACCGCATACTAATAAGGATGAGGTTTATCGATATAAAGTGACTGCACGTGATGTATTATCTACCATTTGATAGGTTAATGGGCTTATGAATTATTAATGATTTTTTGAAGAATAATAGAGACGTATCTTACAGTTCCTTGTGAGTTACTTTAAAAGAGGATGCAAAACATTTTTGTTACACATCAAAAGGAATCCTTGGTCAGATTGTCGCCTTTCTGAATTCTCTGGAACAATGAATTTTGCACTTGTGGTTCCAATACTGCTAGAGCTTTTTCTTGCCATCGACGCATGTACCGAGATCCGAGTGACCGCCGAGGACAAAACGGTCGTTGTCGGACGAAGCATGGAGTTTATGATCGATCTCATGTCGTACATCGTGGTGGAGCCCAAGGATTACCCCCACACTGCAGAACTACCAAAGACTTGTTCCCGTAGTTCATCAGCAATTACTTGGACCAACAACTACAAGATCGCATACCTTGACGCTTTGAGCTCGCCTTTTAGCTGTGACGGCCAAAATGACGCTGGACTCTCCGTGGGTGCACTCCTCCTTCATGGTTTTTCCAAGTATCAGACTGTCCACAAAAATAAGTGTGGCTCGGCCATTTCCAACTTGGAGTTTACGGCATGGATTCTAGGCAACTTTGCAACTACTGAAGAGGTGCGAAGGGCTTGGAGAAAGGACTCATTCCCACTTATGTGGGAGCAACCTCTGAAAGGGAACACCTTTGAACTACACTGGTCCATCACTGACAAAAGTGGTGACGGCATTATTATTGAGTACACCGAACAGGGACCAAAGCTGCACGAAAATACAATTGGTGTCGTGACCAACTCTCCACCCTATGACTTCCACATGCTGAACCTCCGCAATTACGTCCATCTTTCTAAGTTTGCTCATGATCCTTTGGTATTGGGTGAAACAACGTTCCCACCCACTGGCCAAGGAAGTGGACTTCTTGGTGTTCCAGGAGATTTCACTCCCCCGTCGAGACTGGTACGATCTGCAGCCATGGTGAACTTTGCTGATACAGCCAAGAGAAGTGATGAGGCGGTAAATTTGGCTTTGCACATCATGAACAATGTTGATATTCCCCACGGAGTCGCTGCATCCCATGATCATGAAAGTATGGCCGACTACACTTCTTGGATTGTGGTCAAGGACCTCACCAACAAGGCAATGTACTTTCGCAATTATGAAGATCTCACCGTCCGTGTGATTCATCTCGACAAAGTGACCCCTGGCAAGAAGTTGAAAATCAAAGTTGGAACTCCTATTGGTGGGTTTGTGGATGTCACAGGAGATCTTCAGGATGCTCAAGCCCATACTGAACTTTAAGAAACAGAACTGTTTTTCTGCTTGTTTGCCAATGTTTTCCCCTCAATACAGAGAGAAATAATTCCTATTAATTCTGATGGTAGCCTTTCGTGTACGTTCCTATGGTAATTTTTTTAAAACTATCTACAATTTGTGTACGTTCATTAAGGACCTCGCCTGAGGCAATCCTCAGGAAGTCTGTAAGAGGTTATTATTGTCGTTTAAGTAAAGGTCTTGACAATTCTTGAGAAATGAAGCAGTTTTGTTACCATTTTGATTGTGTACGCCATTCCCCAAACAAAAATTACCTTTTACGTGGAAAAATGCAGCAGGAGTACGTGTAAATGTTTCTTTTCAAGCTAGGGTTGGAAACTCGATTCCCAGGTTGATACGCATGCATGCGATAAACACCAAACCAATCTAGGATATTTTCCCATTCCCTAATGACTAATCCTGAACCTCTCACTATATCGCCTTTTGTAACAGGAAAAGACTATTTTGAGGAAGATGAGAAGTGATAGCTAGCGCAAGGTTTCGAAAACCTTACTGTTTCTTTTAGCATTTTTGTTTTGTTGATGTTTTTGAAGATGGGATTCTGCACGCGATTTGTACCGAAGCAAACGAGGCAAAAAATCGGCTCGTTTGGTGATAGGTCGACTCAACTATGACTGAGCCTACACGGTGTCCCCATACTGATCTCTATAAATACTAATTTATGTCAGACATTTTGGCGAATAACTCCTCAGCGGAAAACCCCACGGACCTATTGTGAGAAAAGCTTCCTCTCTAAGCGTCAGGCATGCAATAGTTATGATTTTTTATTTCGATTGCGTGACGAATGGTTAGATCGTGTGAGGTCTAGAACGAGTGGGAGGGGAGGGTTGTGCTTAACACTGGCAATAGTAACGAGTTTCCGAGTCGGGTGATTATCGGAAATTGTCGGCTATTGCCGAATATGGCGCACTATTCCGGTAATACCATTTGCGATTTACCAACAGTCAAGCGACGTGATTGAACCAGACATGAACATTATAACATACTTTACATGTGAAGTATACATTGTTGAGTTTAAATCAAGAAAATTTCGCTAAATTTTGTATGGCTGTTTCCTTCACCCTCGTCGATCGTAAGTTTCTTGTTCAGTAGAGTTTTCGCTTAACACTGCTGCCGCTAAGACCTGCGCTTGCAAAGGTAAACAAAACTTTTGAATAGTACCGCCACTATAATGCCCTTGTCATGGTGCTACTGGTAACCCCACTCTCCCTGCTTAAGTACGCATACTAAGTCGGTTAACCCCGAAGAGCTTTCGAAAGATATGCATGTAGCAATAGTTACGGGAGACATCGGACAGCTTCTTACAACACCGCATCACCGCCTAAAATGTTTTTAAACCAATGACACGGCGGTATGTTTCACACCTATTTAAGAATTTACAAAAACAATCGACCACATAACAAAGCCATATCACATAATTGAATATATTGTGAATAAAGTCGAATAACTGCTGAACCTTTAAGGCTGGTGGGGTCTTCCTTTCATGTGGTGTGTTTAACAATCAATATATTGATTTCAAGTCTCAATTGAGTTCAAAACCTTTATTTGAAGTCCCAATTGGGGTTATGAGTTATTCCATTAAAAAGGGGACAGCCTCGATAAATAGAAGTCAGAACGAAGCCGACGCCAATTCAACTGAGAAACAAAGGGCCGGTAACTGGCAGTTAACAGTTCTACCTCCGTGTTCCACCGGTTCAGTTACTCCAGAGCCATCACACCGAAGGTACACATCGGGGAATGCAAAAGACCGCATCGTGCTCAACTTAAGACAATTCATGAATTCCAGAAAACGGGTAATCATCTGAGCAGTGAATCGCAGAGCAAAGTTAGGGAATTCGCCATAACTGTGAACGTCAAGCACAGACCAATATAGGCATTGCACTATATTGAACCAGACATGAACATTATAACATGATTTACATGTGAAGAATACATTGTTGAGTTTAAATCAAGGAAATTTCACTAAATTTTGAATGGCTATTTCCTTCACCCTCGTCGATCTTAAGTTTCTTGTTCAGCTGAGTTTTAGCTTAACACTGCAGCTACAAGGACCTGCGCTTGCAAAGATAAACAAAACTCATGAATAGCACCTTGTCATAGTACTACTGATTGTAAAGATCCCCAAGATGAAATTGCTATCGTCTTGTACACTCTAGCCGGTAGGATCTCAGGAGGCTTAGAAAATACTACAGGCTGGAGGTACAGCTTGCATATTTAGTCAACTTTGCTCAATTGTTTCTACGGTTTTCTTCGCATTGTACTTTTTCTGCAATCCACATTAGTCTTTCACTCCTTTGAATCACTTTTTTCAAGAATACGTATACATTTATTTATTTTTATTTGGTCTTATACCTCTAGCTGGTAGGATCTGAAGGGGTTTATAAAGTACTACCGCTTAGAGGTACAGCTTGCATACTTAGAGGACTTTGCCCGATTTTTATTACGGTTTGCTCCACATTTGACTTTTCTGTACTCCAAATTAGGCTTACACTCCTTGGAATCTTTTTTACAAGAGTACATTTACATTTATTTTTTTTATTTGGTCCTGTACCTCTAGCTGGTAGGATCTTGAGAGGCTTAGAAAATACAATCCGCTAGATGTACCTGCATATTTAATTGACTTTGCCACAGCTTCAGTCTCTATTTTAATGATACTTGTGTTTGATTAGAAGTATTGTCAGCAAAGTCAACCATTGTCTGAAATACTAGAATCAAGTTATCTCTAGGAAGTTATAGGATAACATGGTTTTAATTCACCAAATTGACATTTTCCCTGTGTATTAACTGCATGTATGACTGTGTGAAAACCTTCAGGCAAGTTAAAGAATCATTTGATGCTCATAACTTGTGTGCTGTGCTATCAAATAAGCAGTAGTAGGTACACGACCAAGGAAAAAGAAGCTATTCTTGAAAAAAAAAGATTCCAATGTCGTATAAGACTAAAATGGAATGCCAAAAAGTAAAATGCAAAGCAGACTGTAATAAAATTGGGCAAAGTCAATTAAACATGCAAGCTGTACTTCGAGTATTTTCTAAGCCTTCTAAGATCCTACTAGCTGCATATTCTACGCCCCCTAAGATCTTACCAGTTAGAGGTTCAAGACGAAATAAAAATGAATAAATGTATACGTATTCTTGAAAAAAGTGATTCAAAGCAGTGGAAGACTAATGTGGAGTGCAGAAAAAGTAAAATGCGAAGCAAACCGTCGTAACAATTGGGCAAAGTTGACTAGATATGTAAGGTGTACCTCTAGCCGATAGTATTTTCTAAGCCTTCTGAGATCCTACCGGCTAGAGGTACAAGACAATAGAAATTTCATCTTGGAGATCTTTCCCAACCAGTAGCACTATGACAAAGGCATTATAGTGGCGATACTATTCCTAAGTTTTGTTTACCTTTGCAAACGTAGCTACAGTGTTAAGCTGAGACTCTGCTGAACTAGAAACTTAAGATCGACGAGGGCGAAGGAAACAGCCACACAAAATTTAGCGAAATTTCCTTGATTTAAACTCAACAATGTATTCCTCACATGTAAAGCATGTAGTGCCTGAGCGTAACCTCGGATAATAAATCCGCCATTCTGAATTAGTAGAACTGAGGAGAGCCTGGAACAAAGAAACTATTACAAGCACTTCCCTCCCTTCCCCTCCCTTCCCCTCCCACTTATTCCAGACCTCACGCGATCTTACCAGCCGTCACGCAATCAAAATCTAAAATCAAAACTATTGCATGCTTGACGCCAAGAAAGGGAGCTTTTCTCACAACAGGTCTGTGGGGTTTTCCGCTGACGAGGTATTCGCCAAAATGACTGACATAAATTGATATTTATAGAGTTCAGTATAGGGACGCCATGTAGATTCAGTCATAATTGAGTTCACTATCAATATTCTGGTTTGGCTAAACTACAGAATACAAGGTCATTTTTAACCCTTCACCAAACGTGCCGGTTTCTTTGGCTCGTTCGTTTCGGAACAAATCGCGTGCAAAACTCCATTTTCGACAAAAAAAAATGTTTAAAAAAAATCAAGGTTTTCAAAACCTTCTTAAACCAGTTATTTCTCAATTTCTGCAAAATAGTCTCTTCATTTTATACAAGGCAATATGGTGAGAAGTCCAGGGTTGGGTGATTCTAGATTATTTTGCGCATCTTTGCACACATTTAATCTTTTCAAATTTGTTTACAAAAAGCGTTCCCTATACTTTTATGAGGGTTTTTCGGAACATTCAGGCCCCAAGGAGAACAAAGGAAGAAGAACAAAGGGCTCCCCAAGCTCCAAGACACTCTTCCCTTTATCTTTTCCCCTCTACATACTCCTTCTGTATTTTTCCAGGTAAAAGGTAATTTTTGTCAGAGAATGTCGTACACAATCAAAATGCTAACAAGAGTGCTTTATTTCTCAAGAATTGTCAAGACCTTCACTTAAACGACAATAATAACGTTTTAAAGACTACCCGAGGATTGCCTCGTGTGAGATCTTCAAAAGGCATGCACAAATTGTAGATAGTTTAAAAAAATTACCATAAGAACGTACTCGAAAAGCTACCACCAGCATTAATAGAAGTAATTTCTCTCTATATTGACGGGAAAACATTGGCAACAAGCAGTGAAACAGTTCTGTTACTTAGAGTTCAGTATGCGCTTGAGCACCCTGAAGATCTCCTGTGACATCCACAAACCCGCCAATAGTAGGGCTTCCAACTTTGATTTTCAACTTCATGCCAGAGGTCACTTTGTCGAGATGAATCACGCGGATGGTGAGATCTTCATAACTGCGATAGTACATTGCCTTGTTTGTGAGGTCCTTGACCACAATCCAAGAAGTGTAGTCGGCCATATCTTCATGATCATGGGATGCAGCGACTCCGCGAGGAATGTCAACAGTGTTCAGGATGTGAAATGCCAAATTTACCGCCTCATCACTTTTCTTAGTTTTATCAGCAAAGTGCACCATGGCTGCAGATCGTACCAGTCTCGATGGAGGAGTGAGATCTCCTGGGACACCAAGAAG